TTTTCTTAATTTTGTCCTATAAATGGAGCAACTATAACCGGTGTCATTTCTTTTTAATTAATTCCCTTAGGATATATTTCCAAAAATAGAATTATTGGGTTAAAGGGCATAAAGAGGCCGGGCGCGGTGGCTCAAGCCTGTAATCCCAGCACCTTGGGAGGCCGAGATGGGCGGATCACAAGGTCAGGAAATCGAGACCATCCTGGCTAACCTGGTGAAACTCCGTCTCTACTAAAAAATACAAAAAACTAGCCGGGCGTGGTGGCGGGCGCCTGTAGTCCCAGCTACTCGGGAGGCCGAGGCAGGAGAATGGCGTGAACCCGGGAGGTGGAGCTTGCAGTGAGCTGAGATCCGGCCACTGCACTCCAGCCTGGGAGACAGAGCGAGGCTCCATCTCAAAAAAAAAAAAAAAAAAAAAAGAGCATAAAGAATTTTTAGAGAGCCAGCTGCACAATGCGAATTTATTCTCCAGAAAGACGTAACCCTTCTGCAGTGGAAAGGCATGTTTTCTTTTCCTATGGGGATGGTGTAGCCCTGGCTACACTAGACATTATTATTACTATTAATTTTGCCTCCTTATTTTATATTCCTTTTTTTCTATTGGCTCATAGACTCTTTTTCTATGAGATAATATACTATTTCTTGTTTTGGATCACCTGTAATCATCTACTAAATGTATTCTACCTGTAATTCTTACATTAATGTGCTCGTTATGTTTTAATAATGAGGTTTTTATCAGATGTTGTCTAATTTATTTCCTCTACCTTGTTTATTTCTTTCAATATTTATTTCAATACAGTGTGTGTATGGAGATCTTAGTTTGACTTGACATATTTGATCATATGCATTGCATCTCTGGACATAGCCTGTACTTAAAGCTTCAAATAGGCTGGGCACAGTGGCTCACACCTATAATCCCAGCACTTTGCAAGGCCAAAGCAGGAGGATGGCTTGAGCCTAGGCATTTGAGACAAGTCTGGGCAACACAGCAAGACCCCTCTCTACAAAAAATACAAAAATTAGCTGGGCATGGTGGTGCCCACCTGTAGTCCCAGGTACTCGGGAAGCTGAGGTGGGAGGATCACTTGAGTCTGGGGGGTCGAGGCTGCAGGGATGCATGATTGTGCCATGGTACTCCAGTCTGGGCACCAGAGCAAGACTCTGTCTGGAAAAAAAAAGAAAAAAAAGAAAAAAGCTTCAAATACTTATTTCTCCTCCACAGCTGGATTACATTTGGTATGATGTTTTCAAAATATTTTTTTCATTAACAGGTTGCCATGAAATATTTAACTCTTTGACCTATCTGAAATTCACTTCAGAATACCATATGAAATATGGATCCAATTTATTTTTTCTCCATACTGTTATCTGTTTGCTTGACAATATTTATCAAACAGTGATTTATCCCCCACCCCCCACTAACTCCTGACAATGACTTTCCATCCAATATTTTTCATTGTGCAGTCAAAGGAATTAATCATTGGAACCAACTGTTACAGACCTGAAAGCTTTCCTTTGAGAAGCAGGGATTTTTGGCTAAAAAAACCCCACTGGTCAGCACATGGAAAGTTAGGCCCAAAGGGATTTAAAAATTATTTTGTTCAACTCCTCTCTTCTATTACAAATGAGGAAACTGAGGCACCAAGGAATTACATACAGTACAAGTCACTCTGCAAGAGATGTGGGAAAACAATGGAGAATTAAGGCATGTAACTAGAAATTAGGAACATGGATTTTAGATGAAAAATAAGCAAAAAAATGCTGCTAATAAAATATATACTAATAATATATAGAAATATACAGCTAATGATAAAATATAGTACTACTAATAAAAATATACAGCTGGCCGGATGTGGTGGCTCAAGCCTGTAATCCCAGTACTTTGGGAGGCCGAGACGGGCGGATCACAAGGTCAGGAGATCGAGACCATCCTGGCTAACACGGTGAAACCCCGTCTCTACTAAAAAAAAAACAAAAAACTAGCCGGGCGAGGTGGCGGGCGCCTGTAGTCCCAGCTACTAGGGAGGCTGAGGCAGGAGAATGGCATGAAGCTGGGAGGCGGAGTTGCAGTGAGCTGAGATCTGGCCACTGCACTCCAGCCTGGGCGACAGAGCCAGATTCTGTCTCAAAAAAAAAAAAAAAAAAAATATATATATATATATACACACACACACACACACACACACACACACATATATATATAGCTAATAATAATGGCAGCTACTAGTAATTGAAGATGTACTGTAGGCCAAGCACTGTGCATCTCTTTGAAGCCCCATGCTGACTCGTTAGTGTATGTATTATTATTCCCATTCCTGTCGCTAGTAATTTGCCCAAGAGCTGCCACCAAGTGGCAGGAACCAGGTCCCAGCTCCGTTTCCCTGACTGGGAAGCATTTTTCCACTGCACCACATTGCCTCCTAGCTACCTGGTGATAAAAAGCAAGGCATGCCAACCAAACTCCCACTGAAGAACCTACTCCATTAAAACAAAAGCCAGCCATCTACTAAGTTCATTTGAAACTGATTAAAAGAGTTGTCCCAATTACTAAAATTGTGTGACCACTTTAGAACTCAGTTAACTCAGCTGTCAAAAAAGGGCAACAGACAAGATGATCTCTAAAATCTCCTTCAGTTTTAACATCCTAGGATTATAATTTCCACTGTCCACTTTTCATTCTTCTATATGTAATAAAAATAGGAAGAGTACAAACTTCAAAAAGAAGTAGAACCCATTTTGATTTTATTAAAAATATGTTTCTGAAGCATAATTTTAGGGCCAATAAAATCCTTCATGTGAATTAAGTTTAAAATGGTCATAAAAGAAAATAAAAATAGTAAATTAAACTATTTTACAATTATTTTAAACTAACATGTAATTAAAAAAACTGATTTAACAGATTATTTGAAATACAATGGTCCTATAAGATGATAGAGGAGAATATATATTATGTTCGACTTAAGATTAAAAAATAATAGTAATAATAAACAAGTGCCCACTTAGTTAACAAGGAATATGCTTTATTTAAGTAGATTGTAATGCCTGGTCAAAAAATATATATTTATTAATTCCAAACTACTAATGCTATCACTTCAACTTTTCTTTTTTAACAACAATTGACTAAATTATAATTTTTGCTTACATTATTTTCATAGAAGATTGGGTAATATGCACATTAAATGGAAGCATGTGTTAAATATTCAGGCTAAACATGGTAGTCCCCATTAAATCTTAGATCTTAGTAGATTTTTCCTTTTTGAAAAGAAATTGAATTCTGGAATGCTTTCCCATCACTGCTGTTGATACAGGCCAAAAGAGGTATCCCATGACAAGCATTTCTGCAGTTGTACCTTAAATCTTCCAAGAAAGGAATCTAAGGAGTTTCATATATTGAAAAGAAATAGAAATTAAGATAAAAAGGAAATAGAGATTTTTTTTAAAAACACACAAAACTAAGTCACATTATGAAATAAAAATTTAAACATCCTTACCTGGAGTTTTCTAAAAATAAAATACTTTGTACTGGGTAAGAATAGACATAGAACACCAAACAAAAGGCCTCTTCATGGTGTGATTCTATGAGTTTCTAGTATTTTTTTAGTCCACATTTTTCTAGTCAATATCTTTAGCAACATGAGATGTATTGCCTGAAGAGGGCACCCTTTCCTTTAACACCAAAATCTATTTGCTGAACCCCTAATATGTAAACAAACCTGTGGGATAAAAGCACTATATCAACTTCATTTTCAGGAGCAATGCTGTCTTAAGTTAAATTTTTAGTCAAATATATATATATGTGTGTGTGTGTGTGTGTGTGTGTATTATTTATATAAATAATACAATTTAAAGCATGAGAAGAAAAAGGACTCCTGTATGCCCAGGATTAAATTTAGGAAACAGAAAAATTCCAGTAACTTGGAAGTTCCCATATGCTTCTCCCAGTGTATCTTCATCTCTCATCCTTAAGGGAATCACTTTTCTGAATTCTGTTTTTGCAATTCCCTTGCCTTTCTTTAAGTTTTGGGGTTTGTTTTTTTGTTTTGAGATAGCTGGAGTTCAGTGGCATGATCTCAGCTCACTTTAGCCTCTGCCTCCTGGGTTCAAGCAATTCTTGTGCCTTAGCCTCCAGAGTAGCTGGGATTACAGGTGTGAGCCACCACGCCTGGCTAATTTTTGTATTTTTAGTAGAAACGGGGTTTCATCACGTTTGTCAGGCTGGTCTCAAACTCCTAACCTCAAGCAATCTGCCTGCCTCGGCCTCCCAAAGTGTGGGGATTACAGGTGCAGGGATTACAGGCTTCCCAAAGTGCTGGGATTACAGGGCGCACCTGGCCTCTTTATAGTTTTATTAGCTATGTATTGTTTAATTTTGCCTTCTTTAACCTTACTATAACTGTATCAGGCTTCTGTAACTTCCTTTTTGGATCAATATTAAGTGATTCAGATCCAATCATACTGATACATGCATCACACTGATACTGGTACATGCATTTTTGGCACCATGCAGTGTTCCATTCTATGACTATATCACAAATTATTACTTATTACCTATGCTTCCATGGTAGACTTTTTGTTTTGTTGCTGTTACAGGTAACACTGCTGCGAACTGTTATGCATGAGCCTGGCAGCACACATACACAACAGTTCCCTTAAGACAGAGACGGGCAAAGCATGACTCCCACGGGACAAACCCAGCCCACTGCCTGTTTTGGTATGTCCCACAGCTAAGAGTAATGGGTATAAAAATAGGAAAAGGAAGAGAAGAATGTTTTGTGACATGTCAAAATTAAATGAAATTTAAATTTCCGTATCCACAAATGAAGTTTCACTGAACACAAGCACACCTAGTCACTGACATGTTGTCTATGGAACAGATCTTTGGAAGCCCAAAACTTTTTAACACTATCTGGGCTTTTACAGAAAATGTTTGCAGATCCCTGCTGTAGGTTAAAAATGCTCTAAGGTGGACATTTGTGTTTCAGGTGTAGAAGGGAGAGAGAGTGAACAGGGAGAGGGGCTTTTGTCTGTTGGTCTCCCTGGACTGAAGACAGGGAGAATAGAAACCCAAGACTAGGATTCTCAAAATGGTTTATTACCCAGAACTCTCTGTCTGGGTCAGTCAAGAACTATTTCCAAACAAGGAGATGGAGAGAAGGCTTCCTAAGGGAAGACTTTCTGTCCCAAAGGAATTGAGCCGCAAGAAGAACAATGAGACCAACTCTGTCTTCCTGACTCCACTGGGCAGCAATGAAGTCTGCTCCCCAAGAATCAGTTACCTCCAATATGGTTTGGTTCTGTGTCCCCACCCAAACCTCATCTCCATTTGTAATCCCCATGATCCCCATGTGTGGAGGGCAGGATCTGGTGTGAGGTGATTGGATCATGAGGCTGGTTTCCCCCATGCTGTTCTTGTGATAGTAAGTGAGTTGTCACTAGATCTGATGGCTTTATAAGGCGCTCTTCCCGCTTTACTCCTTCACTCTCTCTCGCCTGCCACCATGTAAGATGTGCCTTTGCTACCCCTTTGCCTTCAGCCATTATCGTAAGTTTCCTGAGGCCTCCAAAGAGGTTTCCTTTGTAAATTACCCAGTCTGAGGTATTTCTTTATAGCAGTGTCAAAACGGACTAAAACACCTCTTTTTAAAATCCGAACACTTCCATTTGTATTATATATGGTGTGTGGGTTTTGACAAGGTCGTGGTATCATCTATAGGATTTTTTTCTCTGCAAATCATCAAGTATAAGAAGAAACAACGGGGCTCTGAGCCTTACTATAATTTACAGTGAACAAAGAGGTATCATCAAATCAGTTTCTATCCATTCTGTCTCAAGTGGAAACGCTCAGATTTCACACTATGAATACACGTTTACAACCCTTACAGGTGGGCCTACAGGCCTGATTCACTACAACACTGTCTGCCACAACTGTCTCCCACCCTGTTCACCTGACAAACCCACTCCTGCCTTTTCACTCAAACAGCTCCTGCTTCTTGCAGAGGCTGAGACTCCCCCACCACCACCACCTTTTTTTTTTTTTCATTTACATGTATCAAGCCTCATAGTTTATGTTCATCAATTGTCTGTATATCTCTATATTTTATCCCTGTAGCCTTTTGATGTATAGAAGTAGTTTGAAACTCACTGTTTCCTTATGGTAAGTGACTGAGATGCTGCCACAGGACCTGAGACACTGATGAATGGTGCTATTTTGGATTTTGTTTTATTTATTTACTTCTTCCTTTTAGATGGAGTCTTTCTCTGTCACCCAGCCTGGAGTGTGGAGTGCAGTGGCATGATCTTGGCTCACTGCCGCCTCTGCCTCCTGGGTTCAAGCAATTCTCCTGCCTCCCGAGTAGCTGAGATTACAGGCATGCACCACCACACCTGGCTAATTTTTGTATTTTTTTAAGAGACCGAGTTTCACCATGTTGGCCAGGCTGGTTTTTAACTCACGACCTCAGGTGACCTGCCCACCTTAGCCTCCCAAAGTGCTGGGATTACAGGCATGAGCCTCCACGCCTGGCCTATTTTGGATTTTCAACATGCTCCTTGGCAAGGTAGCCCCGAAGGAGTTATCTTTTCCTTCCACTTTCTAAGAAGGTATTGGTACTCTGTTTCCCTGGATATTGTTCTCTAGACTGGATTGACTTGTTTTCCTCATGTCTTCAGTGCAGCTTTCTTCCTCAGTGGTGTAGGCTGAGTGAATGCTGCCATAGTGTGTGAGAGACTGGTGTCTCACTGGCTGGCACTTACAGACATGCAGTCACAGTAGCGTGGATGACACTCATGGATGTGCAGTGACAGTAGCAGGGGCAATCACAAAACTGTAATTTACTTACCAAATCTCTTCTTTTCCATCACCTTGTCTGCCTGTTTAGAGAAAGAAAAACAATAATTTTAAAGGGATTTTGAGGTGTCTTTTTGGATCCTTATTGTTTGAAAGGGTATTGGGGATGGGGGGAGGCAAACTCTTTTTAAATAAATTCCCTCTGGAAAAAAAATCCAAAACACTGGCATCTGAGTAGGAATATGAAAATTACACCTTTTCCAAAAATTAAGTTGGAAAAAATGTCTTTACAAAATAAGAATAATTTTTGAAAGTAGAGCACTCTTTTTTATTGGCAGTTTTGATAAGCAAGGCATAGATTTTACATCTTTGTCCTTGCTCCCCCTGAAATGGGATAAACAAAAATAAAATACCATCTATTCATGGAATGTTGTTGTGTTAGCCAGTCTAAAGCCCATCCTATTTTTTATGTAGCCATTTTTCAGCTCTTCCTTTGACAGGGCAGGCCTTGTTTGGAATTGTTCTGCTTCTGACTATTAAATATCTGTAAACCAAAAACAAAATTCTAAGCCCCACCCACCCCCCAACCATCTGAATGGACTTCCTCCTCAGCCAGGGCACTCTCAAATTTTTCCTGAAAGACTGGGTCAGGCATTGATGGGAAGTGGGGGATAAACAGGCCTCATTATATCCCTCCAGCTTTAACATCAACACAGACCTTAAGTCTGAAAAGAAACATTTACGATCTATTCTCTCTGAATCCTGCTACCTGTAGGCTTCATCTGCACACTAAACTTTGGTCTCCACAACCTCTTTCAACCAATTACCAATCAGAAACTTTTTAAATCTACCTATAACCTGGAAACCCCCACCTTCCCGCACGCTTCAAGTTTCCCCACCTGTCTGGACTGGACCAGTGTATATGTTAAATATATTTGATTGACATCTCATGTATCCCTGAAATGTGTAAAATCAAGCTGTGCTTGGTTTTACCAACCACCTTGGGCACATGTTCTCAGGATCTTCTGAAGATTTATTCTTATGTGCAGAATAAATCTCTTCAAAGATTTTAGAGTTTGACTCTTTTCTTTTCTTTCTTTTCTTTTTTTCTTTTTTGAGACAGAGTCTTACTGTGTTGCCCAGGCTGGAGTGCAGTGGCATGATCTCATCTCACTGCAACCTCCACCTCCCAGGTTCAAGTAATTCTCCTGCCTCAGCCTCCTGAGTAGCTAGGACTACAGGTGTGCACCACCACATCTGGCTAATTTTTGTATTTTTGATACAGACAAGGTTTCACCATGTTGGCCAGGCTGGTCTTGAACTCCTGACCTCAGATGATCCACCTGTCTCAGCCTACCAAAGTGCAGGGATTACAGGTGTGAGCCATCTCACTCGGCCAAGTTTGACTCTTTGTCAACACACCGATGACCCGTGCACTGCATGTCTTCGTTCTCTTCTCTCTCCCCCATTGGCCTGAGTTTCTTGTGCATTCCTCCTCTCTTTCCTTTGTTAGAATAGGTACATCAGCTGTGCAAATAGAGAAAAAAAAGAAAAAAACAGTATTCCGCACATGTGGCATTTAGTGTAGAGCTGCAGTTGTGCACTGCAGAAAATGCGGGCTTTTGTAACAACATGATCTTTACTGATGCACTCATGACAAGTACCCAGTGTATTTTAACTATTTTAGTAGTATTTGTTCAATAAATATGCAAGCTGTACGGTAAAGATAAATAAATAAATACCTAAGACAGAAATACCAAAACATGGAGTAGGTGCTTTCTTTCTTTTTTCTTTTGAGACAGGGTCTCACTCTGTCACCCAGGCTGGAGTGCAGTGGTGCCATCTTGCTCACTGCAGCCTTAACCTCCTGGGCTTAAGTGATTCTCCCACCTCCACCTCCTGAGTAGCTGGGACCACAGGGACAGGCCACCATATCCAGCTAATTTTTGTTTTTTAGTTTTTTGGGAGGGTATTTTGTTTTGTTTTTGTAGAGACAGGGTGATGTGGTTTGGCTGTGTCCCCACCCAAATCTCATCTTGAATTGTAGCTCCCATAATTCCCATGTGTTGTGGGAGGTACCCAGTGGGAGATAATTTAATCATGGGGGCATTTTCCCCATACTCTTCTCATGGTAGTGAGTAAGTCTCATGAGATGTGATGATTTTATTAGCAGTCTCTCCTTTCACTTGACTCTCATTCTCTCTTGCATGCCACCATGTAAGACGTGCCTTTTGTTTTCCGCCATGATTGGGAGGCTTCCCCAACAACGTGGAACTGTGAGTCCATTAAACCTCTTTTCTTTTATAAATTACCTAGTCTTGAGTATGTCTTTATCAACAGCTTACAAACAGACTAATATGCAGGGTTTCACCATGTTGCCTGGGCTGGTCTCACATTCCTGGACTCAGACGATGCTCCCACCTCAGCCTTCCAAAGTGCTGAGATTACAGGTGTGAGCCACCATGCCCAGTCCTGCACATTTTTTATTTCCCTTGATTTCCAAAGTGACTCTACACACATATATTCCCATCATCTCAATGTATGAGCATTCTCAATGTTTTCATGGTATATGCAGAAAAAACAGATCAGCTATAGAAATAAAGAAACTACTCTTCTGTGTACCTAGGAGTTGCAGTGGAAATTTCTAACACTTTTGCTGTACCTGCAATAAACTATTAATAATAATTATGACTGTATGTTGGCTAATGTTGTATAACTTTCCTTAGTTTAAGCCTGTCAGTAGACAGGGTCCTGGAATGCTGATGTTGTCTAGACAACATCCTCTTACGATATCGTGATCAAGGCCATGGCCTGGGGTGCCCAGCTCCTCCATATAGAGGGATTTCATCTGGCTGAGCCCATCCATGGGCCCTACAAAACCAGGATGGTACCAAGTGAATTGAGTGTAATTGGTGCAACTCTCATGTGTTTGTGAATTTGTCCTACAACCCCCTGCTTCTGAGACCTAAAATGAGCTCTAAAGCTTAATTCAGAGCTTATTTTCCAGGCTGCCCTCATGATAACTGAAGAGTTTTCATACAGCAAGTATGCCAGCAAATAATTTAATATCTACAATGTTTTCTGTTCTAGGGTTTGAAAAAAAGGAAAGCAGGCATCCATTAAATTAAAAAGTGCCAAAAACTCAAATACTATAAAAAGGAAGCCCCTTTTATATTTAATACAAAATAATTACAGCGTATTAAGAAAGAAAATACCAGATTCAGTTAAGTGTGTTAGTGCTTTAACCTATTCTAATTCTACTTTCTCATATTAATTGAGAGAAAGGTAGGCCAGGCACGGTGGCTCATGCCTGTAATCCCAACACTTTGGGAGGCCAAAAAGGGTGGATTACCTGAGGTCAGTAGTTCAAGACCATCCTGGCCAACATGGCGAAACCCCATCTCTACTAAAAATACAAAAGTTAGCTGAGGGTGGTGGTGCGCACCTGCAATCCCAGCTTCCTGGGAGGCTGAAGTAGGAGAATAACTTGAATCCAGGAGGTGGAGGTTGCAGTGAGCTGAGATTGCACCATTGCACTCCA